TGTTGTCTCAGGCAATTGTGATGGTTCTTTCTAGAATTTGGGATTCGAGCTCTGGTCTTCATCACTATGTTTCACTTAGTTTCAGATCTTTGTATTGTTGCTTTGTGGGGTTTTGAGGATTGGTTCAGGGATTGCTTTGGTCCTGAAAAGTAAGAAGGCAAATCAAATCCATGTTGTAAGTTATTACCCCCTACTCCCCAAACAACCCTTGGGTTGAAATGTATTCCAAGAGCAGCAATGCACGCTCATGCCATAAGGTGGGAGAAGTTACCAAGAAAGGATGTGCATTGTGACTGTTTCTGTCACAATCCTGGGACTTTGCTGAAAGTACTTTACTCAAAGACATTTTGAAGTGTAGTCACTGTGCTGTAGGAAACAAGGCATCCAAATTGCACACAACAAGGTCATCTGCATGCACGTCCCTTCGCCAGTGTGTGTGTGCATATAGCACTGGGATGAAGAAATTGTACAATCTCACAAGTCTTACGATGCAGGAGGAGATCATTCGACCCATCCATGCTAGCATTGGCTCTTCAAGTAAGCATTAGAGAAGTAGGCCATTCAGCCCATCGAGTCTGCCTCACTATACAGTGATCACAGCTGATCTGATAATCCATAGAATCCCTACAGTGTGGAAGCAGGCCATTCGGCCCATCAAGTCCACACCGCGCCTCTGGAGCATCCCTCCCAGACCCCGACCCTATCCCTGTAATCCTGCGTGTCTCATGGCTAATCCACTTAATCTACACATCCCTGGACACCATGGACAACTTATCATGGCCAATCCACCTAACCCTAGTGCTGTGAGGCAGCAATGCCAACCACTGAGCTACTGTGCCGCCCAAATAATCCTCAACTTCACTTTCCGAATTTTTCCGAACAACCCTTATTCCCTTACTGATTGAAAATCTGTCTCTCCCAGACTTGAATATGCTGAATGAACAAGCCTTGAGAGCCCATCTACTGCAAGCTCCCTAGGAATCTGGTATAGAAAAATAGCTTCTCGCTATCTTCTCGATCTAGCCCAACAAATATGTTGGCTGTAGGTCAGTGCATAACACTGAGTGAGAGTCAAAACCTCCAAGTCACACTTGAAGAATGTGGGCAAAAGAAATGCAGCCTCTCTCTCACAAGCAGTACTTAATGAGCTCTGTATTGTTGGAGGAGAGTTCTGAGGAAGCACTTTATCACACAAATCCCAGCAGAACTCTTCCCTCAGAAAACTATGCTGAGTTATGTAGTCTATCGAAAATTCCAAAACTGAGGTTGATATCTATTTATTAGACTTTTTCTCTTTGCCTTTTTTTTGTTTTGCCTTGGTTTGATTTGATGGGAAGCTGACATGCAAGTGTTCCTGATAGTGTCTGTGTTTGATGTGTGTTGCGGCAAAGAGTGTGCCTCTTGGTTCTGGAATATTCCATTGACGGTGCATGATTTTTATTGTCCTCTTTTTGCAGAAAAAGATGGACAGTCGTGATTATCAGGACCCTCAGGGATTTGCAGCAGATATTCGGTTAATGTTTTCCAACTGTTACAAGTACAACCCTCCAGATCATGAAGTGGTGGCAATGGCCAGGAAACTGCAGGTAGGGGGGCATGCAGCTGCACTGCACGTGGACTGCATCATGACCCCGGCCTCAGTCTATGATTGTATTGGGACCCTGGTCTCCATCTTGGCTGACGCTGGCTTGTTTCATTCCTTGTTAGGATGTTTTTGAAATGCGGTTTGCAAAGATGCCGGATGAGCCTGTTGACATTGCCCTACCTCCTCCCATGCCACTTCCAACTATCGCCAAGCCCAAAGTGTCATCCTCATCCAATTCCAATAGCTCGGATTCAGAAGAGGAGAGGGCAAATCGATTGGCGGAACTGCAGGAGCAGGTGGGTGTCGGCAACCCCTCCTCTCAAAGGAACATGGTAGATACCAGCGCAGTATCTTAACATTATGCATGCTTTTAATCATACTGCTTTCCCACTTGTAGCTGCACTGGTCACTGTCCTGATAGCATTATGTATGTGAATACAGCTACTTTAGATTAATACCTCCAAGGATTGTCAGGTTCAGAGTCTCGTAGCTAGCACAAGAGCGTCTCAGCAAGATGCTTGCAGTCTGGTCAGTAGTGTAGAGGATGAGTAATACAGACGACTGGACTAATGATCAAGCAATATTAGTCCAGATCCTGTTTTCACTTCTGCAGAATTTCAATTCTGTTAGTCATGAAATCTATCTGGTTCACTGTTGTGCTTTCAGGAAGGAAATCTGCCATTGTTACATAGTTTGACTTGGGTGTGACTCCAGATTTCCCCCACCAACGTAGACTTCACTTCTCACTACCTTCTGAAAGGGTCCAACAAAATAGTAAAGCTTACCAACACCTTCTCAAGGGCAATAAATGCCGGTCTTGGCCTCACTCCATCAAACAATAGGATGACTGACTATCATTCTTTAGATAAAGTTGTTATGTTTTCATACCAATTGGCTGGTTATCACTAGGGTTTTTTTAATATTAACTCAAGGTAGAGGCAGCAATCTCAGGCGAAATAGGTTGCTTTGGACCTTTTGATGAGACACTCCAGTGTTTGCAAATGTGCACTGGCTCTTGCCGGGGTGCGGTGCGTGTGGGCTGTCGGTGGGGCGCTGTGCCCGTGGGCTGTTGCCAGGGTGCGGTGCGCAGGCTGTCTGTGGAAATGGATATGGAAGAGTGGTGTTGTATTTCAGAGTGTATGTTTCCAACACTGCTGAAATTTATCTGTGCATGTGCTGATGCATCCATTCCATCACGCAGAATATAAGAATCTGTGGTCATAATATGGAGTGATTTACTAGGTTTAAGTGGACTGAGATTTCAGAAGCTTACATCATTGAAAAGCAAAAGCTGTCATGACACATTGCAGCATTTCCATACTCATGACATCTCAAACATCTAAACCGAAGGCATCTCCTAACTATTATTAAAGCAGACAGGAGAACGCCAACGAAAACAGAAATTGCTGGAAATGCTCAGCAGGTCTGGCAGCATCTGTGAAGAAAATATCCAGAGTTAATGTTTTGGGTCCGCTGACCCTTCCAGAGAACTGGAGAGCTCCAAAGTCACACAGCTGGTGCTATTTTGGAGAGAAGATGAGATAATTTGTTGAAATCTCAATTCTAGTAGAAGAGTCCTTGGTTTTGATAAAGAAAAGGCTGATTGAAGTGCGATATTGTCTGACAGTCATTGCTGCACCTTGCATTGCCGTCTTTATATTTCCCCATACAGGATGTGAGAGATATCAGAAATGCTTTGCATCTGGCTTACATTCAAATTTTAGTCATTGCTGTAAACTCAGAAACACGGCAGCAGAGTGCCAATGACCAAATGAAGTTGATTAAGGGATAAATATTGATACCAGCATTCCATGGAGATTATCCATCTGGTTCACTTTAGGGAAGGAAACTGCCGTCCTTACCCAGTCCAGCGTTCATGTGACTTCTGCAGTATGGTCGACTGTTTACTGCCCTCTGGACAATTAGGGATAGGCAATAAATGCTGGTCTGGCCAGTGATGCCCACATTTCATGAGTGAATTAAAAAAAAGTCCCTGTTCTTCAGTGAAATAGTATAAGTTATGTTAGCCCTGTGGAATCTTTCAGCCCGGTTGAGTAGACAAATATGACCTTATATAATGTCCAATCTGAAAGAGAGCATTTTCAATAGTTCAGCATTCCCTCTGTGCTGACACTCGGGCAGAATGCTGGCATGGGACTTGAATCACAATCTGGCTGTGAGGCCTGGGTACCATACACCACTGACACCCAGAGTTGCAGTTTTATGTTTTGACAACAGACAGTGGGTTGGCTGAAGATCAGCACCAGTGTGAGAGTTGCCTCATTTTCTTGAACATTGAAGAGATTCTTGATTTTAATTGTACTTGTCCCCTCAGCTGAAAGCTGTTCATGAGCAGCTGGCAGCTCTGTCTCAGGCTCCTGTCAGCAAACCAAAGAAGAAGAAAGAGAAAAAGGAGAAAAAAAGGAAGGAAAAACACAAACTGAAAGTGGAGGAGAATGACAAGAAGGTCAAGACCTCTCAGGCGAGCAAGCAAGCACAGTGCAAGAAACACAGCAGCAAGAAGCCCAGCAGTGTGAATTCACTGACCAGGTGCGACACCCAGAAACTGCTGGAGCAGCAGTGATTCTCTTGATAGTAGTTGAATTGCAGACGTGGTAAATCTGCTCACAGAAACATGGAGTACAAAGGCAAGGCATTAAACACTTTAGACGTCCTGGTATTCGTCCAAGCTGGTCTTGTTTGTTCAGTCTGGGCATTACGCTTTTAGGAAAACTCTTGAGGTCCAGGAAATGGCACAAAGGGGATTTAATGGAGAATTTTTATGATGTACATAAATTATTTTGGATATTGGAATGCAGTGTAAAATTTCAAAATTTACTGATGGTACCAAACGTGAAGTTGCAACAATGAGGATGATACCAGGTGACTCAGACTGGACATGGATTGGCTAGCAGAATGAGTCGACTAGTGGCTATTAGAAGTTAGACAGAAATGTGAGCTGATGCATTTTATTAGAAGGAGGAGGCAAAATGGAATTAATGGCACATTCTTAGAGTGTGAAGAGTAGGAGGACCTTGGGATGCACGTGCATTGATATTTGAAGATGACCAGATATCTTGAGAGTGTGTTTAGCAAAGCAGGTGGGATCCTCAACTTCATAATTTACTGACATTTAGTACAAATGTGGGGAAGTGATGCTGAACTTTTACAAACCTCTGGTTCAGTCACAGTTAGAGTGTTCCATCGATTCTGGTAGCCACACTTTAGGAAGGATGTGAGGGTCCTTGTGAGTACGTAGAGGAGATTCACTGCAATGGTTACAGGGATGAGAGGTTTCAGCTACAAGGTTAGGGTGGAGAACCTGGTGTTCTCCTTGGAAAGAAGATGGTTGAAGAGAAATTGGATATGCGATCAAAACAGATTTAGATAAGTTAATAGAGAGAGGCTGCTCCTGTTAGCCGATAATACAAGGACAAGGGGATGCAGGATTAAAGTTTAGGATCATTGTTAGAGAATATGGGGGGGGATCTTTCAGTGATTGGCTATCACCTGGAATTCGCTGCTCATGAGGATGGTAGAGGTAGAGACAATAAATAATTTCAAAAGGAAATGTGACGAGAATTTGAGTGAAATAAACTTTCATGGCTACAGGAAGACCATGAGGGAATGGGACTAAAAAGCAAAATGCTGTGGATGTTGGAAATCTGAAATAAAAACCAAGTGCTGGAGAACTCAGCAGGTCTGGCAGCATGAGTGAAGAGAGAAACTGAGTTGACATTTGGAGTCCGGTATGACTATTTGAGGAAATGGGTCTGCTATATGGGCAGCCAGCATTCAATTTTCTCCAAATCTCATGACTGAGAAGATGATGGGGAGGTTTAATGGAAGTGTTCAAAATCATAGGAGAATTCAATAGGCCGAATAAGGAAAGCTGTTTGCATCATCAGCAGCCAAAATACATGTTTAAAATAACTGGAAAAGAAACTGAGCAAATATGAGAAATTTATTTCTTGCAATAAGTTGTGATCTGGAATGGGGAAATAGATTCAATAGAATTTACAAAAGGAAATTAAATAGATATGGGAAGTAAAGAAAATTGGTAGGGCTGTTGGGAAAACAGTGCAGGGGGGAATTGGAAGGTCCGTGTCAGATTTTGGAGTTGGGGGGAGAGGCAAATGACAACAGGAGCAAATGGGAATGGGAGGTTTTGTGTATGATCAGGATATTTATGATCATGGCCAGTAAGTAGTCAGATGGGTTTTAAGTGTATTTATTGAAACAGAAAATGCTCATTAATTCCAGCAAATCTGTCCTGACTAGAGCAACTCGTCATTCCTCCATCTTCCTGCAACCTTTCATTTGCTGTCTCAGAGATTCTCCAGACCTCACGTAGTTAATCAGTTCATTTCCCATGACATTCAAACATAATTCAGCTGCTCCCTTCAAGGATTAAGTGCTGGACTTAACTTTTTTGTTTAACATTTTCTAATTAGACTGCTCAGAGATGTCATTACACAGCCCAGGAGCAGGTGCGACTTGAACCTTTACTCTTAACTTGCTTATTTTTTGTCCTTCCTATTACTCCAATCCTTTTGCCCCAACCAAAATTCCATGTTCCTCATTGATACGCCTTGTCGTTCCCTGATCTGCAAACACTTCTCATTCCCCTTGCTCTACCCCTTAACTGTAATTAATGGTTTGCAGTGATTGTGTTCCCAAAGTAACTTGTTTGGTAAGTGTAATCAAACATCCTGAGGATGTGAGGTGTTGCTCTTTGAGTGCAGCTGTCTTCCTCCTTTGGCATGGAATATTTCTGTCACTTTCTTTTGTTTAGACCCCTGAAGAAAGCTACAAAGCTACCGCTACTTTATGACTCTCAAGAGGAAGAGGACACTCAGCCAATGTCATATGATGAGAAGCGTCAGCTGAGTCTCGACATCAACAAACTTCCAGGTGAAAAACTGGGCCGGGTAGTTCATATCATTCAGTCGAGGGAACCCTCCCTCAGGGACTCCAACCCTGATGAGATTGAAATAGACTTTGAAACGTTGAAGCCAACAACTTTACGAGAGCTAGAACGATACGTCAAATCCTGCTTACAGAAAAAACAAAGAAAACCATATAGTAAGTGATAATATTTGGGACTTGTAATACAACACAAATGTTATGCATGTTGAGGAATCATACCATTGCAATCCACATTTTGTGTTTGAAACTTGTAAACTTAGTGCATTGTGTGTTTAGCTTACTTGGTTCTGACTTTCACTCATTCTGTCATCTCCTCTGAAAGGGATAGGCATCCAGAAGGAAGCTGCTGAATTTCACCCATCACCATTGTCTAAGTGTTACCCATTCTTGATAAGTGATGGACATCAAATTCCAGAACAAGAACAGAAGTTGCTGGAAAAGCTCCGCAGGTCTGGCAGTATTTGTGAAGGAAAATCAGAATTAATGTTTCGGGTCTGGTGACCCTTCCTCAGAATGGACCCGAAACATTAGCTCCGATTTTCTCTTCACGGATGCTGCCAGACCTGCTGAGCTTTTCCAATAACTTCTATTTTTGTTCCTGATTTACAGCATCTGCAATTCTTTTGGTTTTTATTTATGATATCTAATTCTGTCCTCTCATAGGCCAGGTCTTCCTCTTCTTCCCAATCTATCCTGCCCAATAGACAATGTACTGTTGGCAGTTACATCACTCTGACCTGTTGATCTAATTGAGAGCATTATTTCAGCATAGAGGGGCAAATCGTGCTGGCTCAGTGTGAGGCTGTATAAGACAGAGCAAAGTATGAGCCAATAAACATGCCTTGCAAAAAGTTTAAAGATAAAGTTATCAAACCTGCTTTGAGTTTATTGTCACTAAAAATATGCATCAACTATTTGTTGGATGTTGTCGCTGATTCCCCAGTAATTGCAAGACAAGTGCATGGTAACTGGGAGAGGTGGTAGCACAGTGTTAACGTGACTGGCCTGGTAATCCAGTAGCCTAAGTGAATACTTTTGGGACATGGGTTCAAATCCGTCATGGTAGCTGGTATAATTTAAATACAATTAGTCAAATCTGGAATTGATGTTCAGTCTTAGTGAAAGTGACCATGAAGCTATCATTGTTATAAATTCATGTCATTTAGGGAAGAAAAATCTGTCCTTACCGGGTCTTGTATCCACTTCCAAAGCAGTGTGGTTGGCTCTTAAAACAGTGCTTTGAAATGGCTAAGAAAGCCACTCAGTTGAAGGCTGGCTACGGATGAGTAACAAATACTGTTCTTGCCAATAAAATCCACATCCAATGAAGGAATTAAAAACAAATTTGGAGAAGATTGCTTTTGTTAACTTGCTGTTGTCAATTTGAATGTTGAGGCATTTTCCTGAGTCACTCTGTAGAGGGAGTCCATTTTCTGGGCATGAAAGGGCTATAGATTAATATCATTCTCTGGTCCCCAGATCATGACCCAAAATGCTCTCCTGTTACCCAACAGGGTCATTTGTGTCCTTTTAGGAAAGGGAAACCGTTTATAATGGGAAATGGCAGACAAACTAAGTAAATATTTGGCGTCTGTTTCACAGAAGAAGATAAGTGAAAAAAATTAATCCCAGTAAAAAAGTAGTAATGGGGAAATGATTGAGACTGGAAGATGACAAATTCCCAAGACCCAATGACCTTCACCCAACAGAGTTGGAAGAGATGGCAAGAGTTAGTTGTTACATTGGTGACCATCATTCAAAATTTGATTAATGCTGCAACAGTGCGACAGATTGGAAGGTTGTAAATGGAACCCACTGTTTAAGAATGGAGAGAGAGAGAGAGAACGAACAGGAACTACAGTTAGCCTGATATCTTGAGCAGGAAAAATACTAGAATCTATTATAAAAGTTGTGATTACTGAATGTTTAAAAATTAGAAGATAATTACCTGATTTGGGAGGGTCAATGTGGAATTATGAAGGAGAAATCATTTTGACAAATTGGTATTTTTTGAGGGTGTTTCTAGCAGAGTTGATAAGGCCATCCCAGAAGATGTGTGTTTAGATTTTCCGAGGGATTTTGATCAAGTCTTACAAAGGAGGCTCATAAAATGAAAGTACTTAGGATTGAGGGTAATATGCTGGCACGGATTGAGGATTGGTTAACATGTGGAAAACCGAGTAGGGAGAAATGGTTTCAGAGATAGTAGGAACTGCCGATGCTGGAGAATCTGAGATAACAAGGTGTAGAGGTGAATGAACACAGCAGGCCAAGCAACATCAGAGGAGCAGGAAGGCTGACGTTTCGGGCCTAAACCCTTTTTCAGAAAATTTGCAGGCTGTGAGCCATGTGGTACAGAGAGGCTCAAAGCTTGGTACCCAGCTGCTCATAAGCTGTGTCTGAGATCTGGATGTGCAGCCCATTGTGATATTTCCAAATTTGTGGACGATACAAAACTTGGGGGGAATGTGAGTTTTCAGGAGGATACAAAGACACTTTAAGTGATTTAGAAAGTCTGAGTAAGTAGGAAAGAGCATGGAGCATGTGTGTCATGTAGATAGGTTTGAGGTTGACAACTTTAGTGGGAGGAAAGGATGTGCAGAGTATGTTTAAAATGGTGGGAGTTTGGAAAGTGTTGACGTACAAAGGAAACTGGGTATCCTTATTGATGAGTCACTGGAAGCTAACACTCATCTGCAGTGAACACTTTGGAAGGGAAATGATATATTAGTCTATATCACAAGACAATTTGGTACAGGAGCAACGAGACCATGTTTCAATTGTATCAAACACAGCGAGACGGTACCTGAGGTATTGTGTGCCGTTCTGGTCTTTTGGCCTGAGGAAGGATATTCTTTACATAGAGGGAGAGCAGTGAAAATTACCCAGGCTGATTTCTGGGTTAGTGGGATTGCCTTGTAATGAGACTGGACCTGTGTTCTCTGAGGTTTAGAAGAATAAGAGGTGACCTTTGAGAAACTGACCAAATTCTTAAGATGCAGAAAAGGTGTTTCCCCTGGAATCAGGGGATACTGTCTCAGAATAAAAGACAATTCATTTGTGACTGATGTGGGGAAGAAATGCTTCACCCAGAGGAGGCGAATCTTTGGAATTCTCTGCCCCAGAGGATGTAGAGGCTCAGTCATGAAGTAAGTTCAAGGTGGAGATTGACAGGTTTCTAGATATTAATGGCATCAAGGAAAATAGGTTAAATGCAGGGAGATGACTTTGAGGGGGATGATCAACTATGTTATGTTATCTGGCTGCTGAGAGAAGTGGGTCCATTCACCTTTGCAAGTGGAACTGCTTGTAATCTTATTTCTGTCATCATCTTTGTTTCAACCACAAATTTTCAGACACTTCTCCCGACATGTTCAGTGGTAGAGATGGTGAAGAGCAGCACACTCTGTGGGACTCCAGCAGTAACCGACCCCCATTACCAGGTATACTATGAGATTCTGGTTACCTACCATTCACCCTAATAACTCCTCCCCCAATGTGATTCAACCAGTTTGCTCAGGTTGAAATTGAACATTTTCATGAACCTCAAAAATCACTTCTATATCCATCTGGTCAGATGGTGAGTTGTGCATCATCCCTTTGAATAACTGGTGGGTGGATCATTGTCCACATCTAACTTGGTGCCCAGTCTGAACGTTGATACAGTGGGTTTCCCCCAACTCCAGGGAACAGGCTTAGACTCAAGCAAACAGTCAGTGCTCTCTGGTGTATGCCAACGTGATAATTAATTAAAAACTATATGTCTTGTGACCACTCAGGTGTCAGCCCTGGCTGAGTTGGTAACAACTTCATCGCGATTAAAAAGTCCTGGGTTCAAGCACCAGACCAGAGACCTCCATGTAAGATCCAGGCCAACACTCAGTGAATTACTGGGGGAGTACCGTGCTGTCGGGAGGGTCAGTACTGGGGGGGCGCCGCACTGTCGGAGGGTCAGTGCTGAGGGAGCGCCGCACTGTCGGAGGATCAGTGCTGAGGGAGCGCTGCACTGTCGGAGGATCAGTGCTGAGGGAGCGCCGCATTGTCGGAGGGTCAGTGCTGAGGGAGAGCTGCCTGATTTGGATAGCCATGACTGAGGGAATGCAGCCTTGTCAGTGGGTATGAACCTATTGATTTGTTAATTTAATGATTTATCTGTGTGATTTAGCTACGCCTTCAAAGAAACCTGTTGGGAAAGTGAAGGAGGATCTTACTCTGGAGAAGAAGACAGAGCTGGAGAAACGTTTACAGAACATGAGTGGGCCACTTAATCACAGCAAAAAACCGAACAAGAAAGGTAAATGTTCCCCTCCAGTTGTGGATGGACTCATGCTGCCATAACCTCGGTAAGGTTCTGTGGCATAAACGCATCCAAGGAATAGAACAAAGCTGTGATAAGGGTTTCGAGGGTTTAGATGGATGTATGGATAGGAAGGGTTTAGAAGGATTTGGGCCAAATGCTGGCAAATGGGACAAGATTAATTTTGGATATGGGTCGGCATGGACAAGTTGGACCGAAAGGTCTGTTTCCGTGCTGTACATCTCTGACTTTGTAGATGAATGGAATGAAACTTCTCAGCTAGCTTAAAGGACTGAATGGCCTTCTATTTCTTATCATTACAGTAGCTATGCAAAACGTTTTGCTGACCTTTCTTGAGTTTGAGAAACAAAAATTGGATTCTCCAATTCCTGTTTCTTGGAAACAGACTCGGGAGTGAGGATTAGGAGCAATTGGGAACAAAAACAAAGTTGCTGGAAAAGCTCAGCAGGTCTGGCAGCATCTGTGAAGGAAAAAACAGAGTTAATGTTTCGGGTCTGGTGACCCTTCCTCAGAACGTCAGTCCGAAACATTACTTTGTTTTTGTTCCTGATTTACAGCATCCGCAGTTCTTTCGGTTTTTCTTTTGGACCAATTGGGTCGGTGTGTCTTGTCAGACAGCTCATGCACGCACTCTAGTGGCCAGGTTATGAACAGCACTGGGTTGGGAGCAGTTCACTGAAGCTCAGCAGAAGATGAAGCAGACGCTGGGACAGAAATTTAAAGCACAACACGCTCCTGTTTGCCATTTGCACTCTTTCCATCTATGAAGCCTAGTTTCCTGGCTATGATCTCCTGCACAGACTCTCCTGGTCGCTGGAACCGAAATGTTAACTCTGCTTTCTCTCCACAGCTGCTGCCAGATCTGCTGAGTTTCTCCAGCAATTTCTATTTTTGTGTTTTTTTCTTCTTTTTAGCTTGCTTTCATATTCTCTGTCCCCTTTCTTCATCAGTTTTTGCGTCTTATGTTGCTGGGTTCCAATTATCCTTTATTCACTAGTGGGATTTGGGCATCACTGGCTAGCCAGCACTTACGCCTGATTTTGTTGCCTTTGAGAAGGTGATTGCTGCCTTTTTGAACCACGGCAGTCCACATGCTGTGGATTGACCCCCCCCCCCCCCCCTACACACACTGCCCTTTGGGACGGAATTTCAGGATTTTGAGCCAGTGACCGAGGAGGAATGCCGAGTCAGGATGGCGAGTTGTTTGGAGGGGAACTTAACACCATTGAATGCAGTGGTTAGACACCTGGCATTTGTGTGGTGCAAATAGAACATAGAACAATACAGCACAGTACAGGCCCTTCGGCTCATGATGTTGTGCCGACCTATTAACCTACTCAGATCAAACTACCCTGCATAACCTTACATTTTACTGTCCTCCATGTGCCTATCCAAGAGTCACTTAAAAGTCTCTAAAGTATCTGACTCCACTACCACTGCCAGCAGCGCATTCCACATGCCCACCACACTCTGTGTGAAGAACCTACCTCTGACATCTCCCCTATACCTTCCTCCAATCACCTTAAAATTATGCCCCCTCGTAATAGTCATTTCCGCCCTGGGAAAAAGTCTCTGACTATCCCCTCTATCTATGCCTCTCATCATCTTGTACACCTCTATCAAGTCACCTCTCATCCTTCTTCGCTCCAAATAAAAAGCCCTAGCTCCCTCAGTCTTTCCTCATAAGACCTGCCCTCCAGTCCAGGCAGCATCCTGGTAAATCTCCTCTGCACCCTCTCTAAACCTTCCACATCTTTCCTATAATGAGGTGACCAGAACTGAACACAATATTCCAAGTGTGGTCTAACCAGGGTTTTATAGAGCAGTAGCATAACCTCAATTCCCCCGTCAATGAAAGCCAACACATCATACGCCTTCTTTACAACCCTATCAACTTGGGTAGCAACTTTGAGGGATCTATGGACGTGGACCCCAAGATCCCTCTGTTCCTCCACACTGCCGAGAATCCTGTCATTAACCCTGTATTCTGCATTCAAATTCAACCTTCCAAAATGAATCACTTCACACTTTTCTGGGTTGAATTCCATCTGCCACTTCTTTGCTTAGCTCTGCATCCTGTCAAAGACCCGTTGCAACCTACAACAGCTCTCCACGCTGTCCACAACCACACCAACCTTCGTGTCATCGACAGACTTACTAACCCACCCTTCCACTTCCTCATCCAAATCACTTATAAAGATTACAAAGAGCAGAGGTCCCAGAACAGATCCCTGCAGAACACCACTGGTCACCGAACTCCATGCTGAATACCTTCCATCTACTACCACCCTCTGTCTTCTATTGGACAGCCAGTTTTGTATCCAGACAGCCAAATTTCCCTGAATCCCATGCCTTCTTACTTTCTGAATGAGCCTACAATGGGGAACCTTATCAAATGCTTTGCTAAAATCCATATACACCACATCCACTGCTCTGCCTTCATCAATGTATTTTGTCACATCCTCAAAGAATTCAATAAGGCTTGTGAGGCATGACCTGCCCCTCTCAAAGCCATGCTGACTATTTTTAATCAAACTGTGCTTTTCCAAATAATCATAAATACTAACTCTCAGAATCCTCTCCAATAATTTGCCCACCACAGAAGTAAGATTGACTGGATTGTGATTCCCAGGATAATCCCTATTCCTTTTCTTGAACAGGGGAATAACATTTGCCACCCTCCAATCATCTGGTACGACTCCAGTGGACAGTGAGGAATGCAAAGATCATTGCCAAAGGGGCAGCAAGCTGTTCCCTCGCTTCCTGTAGTAACCTTGGGTATATCCCGTCCGGCCCAGGGGACTTATCTATCCTCATGTTTTTCAAAATTTCTAGCACATCCTCCTTCCTAACATCAACCTGTTGGAGCATATCTCCTGTTTCATGCTGTCCTCACAAACATCAAGGTCCCTCTCACTGGTGAATACTGAAGCAAAGTATTCATTAAGGACCTCCCCTACTTCCTCTGATTCCACGCACAAGTTCCCTCCACTATTCCTGATCGGCCCTACCTTCACTCTGGCCATCCTCTTGTTCCTCACATAAGTATAGAACGCCGTGGGGTTTTCCTTAATCCTACCCACCAAGGTTTTTCCATACCCCCTTTTCTTTCCTAAGTCCATTCTTCAGTTCCTTCCTGGCTACCTTGTAACCCTCTAGAGTCCTGTCCAATCCGTCCTTGCTTCTTCCTCTTGACAAGGTGTTCCACATGTCTTGTCATCCAAGGCTTCATCACCTTACCATCCTTTCCTTGTCTCAGTGGGACAAACCTATCCAGTACTTGTAGCAACTGCTCCCTAAACAACCTCCACATTTCTGTCGTGCATTTCCCTGAGAACACCTGTTCCCAATTTATGCTCTGCAGTTCCTGCCTAATAGCATTGTAATTCTCCCTCCCCCAATTAAATACTTTCCCATACCGTCTGCTCCTATCCCTCTCCATGGCTATAGTAAAGGTCAGGGAGTTATGATCACTGTCACCAAAATGCTCTCCCACCGAGAGATCTGACACCTGGCCTGGTTCATTGCCAAGCACCAAATCCAATATGGCCTCCCCTCTAGCCGGCCTATCTACATATTGAGTCAGAAATCCTTCCTGGACACACCTGACAAAATCTGCTCCATCCAAACCCATTTGCACTTAGGAGGTTCCAGTCGCTATTCGGGAAGTTGAAGTCACCCATGACAACAACCCTATTACTTCTGCACCTTTCCAAATTCTGCCTCCCAATCTGTTCCTCAGTGTCTCTGTTGGTATTGGTATTTCGAAAACTCGCAATGAAGTGACTGCTCCTTTCCTGTTTCTGACTTCCACCCATGACCTGGTAGACAATCCCTCCTCCACGACCTCCCTTTCTGTAGCTGTACTACCATCCCTGTTCAGCAATGCCACTGCCCCACCTCTTTTACCTCCCTCCCTATTTCTTTTGAAACATCTGTACCCTGGAACATCCAACAACCATTCCGTTATCCACGTCTCCGTAATGGCCACAATATCGTAGTTCCAAGTCCTGATCCATGCTCTAAGTTTGTCACTCTCATTCCTGACATTTCTTGCATTGAAGTAGACACACCTCAACCTGTCGCACTGACTACCACTTTTCCTTATCAACTGCTTATCCTTCTCACAGATTCTCTGCTTGCTCTATCTGCCTGGCTACCCCATCCTCTGATCTGTAGCTCCGGTTCCCATCCCCCTGCCAAACTAGTTTAAACCCTCCCGAAGAGCTCTAGCAAACCTCCCGCCCAGGATATTGGTGCCCCTCCAGTTCAGGTGCAATCCGTCCTTCCTGTACAGGTCCCACCTTCGCCAAAAGGTATCCCAATGATCCACAAACCTGAAGCCCTCCCTCCTACACCAGCTCTATAGCCATGTGTTCAGCTGCACTCGCTCTCTATTTCTAGCCTCACTAGCCCGTTACACCGGTAGTAATCCTGAGATTACTGCCTTTTAGCTTCCATCCTAAAGGTCCTCATCCTGTTTCCTAGCTATGTCATTGGTACCAATGTGTACCACAACTTCTGGCTGCTGTCCCTCCCCCTTAAGAATCCTGTAGACGCCATCCGAGACATCCGTGACCCTGGCACCCGGCAGGTAACATACCATCCGGGAATCTCGCTTGGTACCACAGAATCTCCTGTCTGTTCCCCTAACCAGTGACTCTCCTATCACTATCACTCTCCTATTCTCCTCCCTTCCCTTCTGAGCCACAGAGCCAGGCTCAGTGCCAGAGACCTGTCTGCTATGGCCTTCCCCTGGTAGGTCATCCACCCCCCCCCCCCCCCCCCAACAGTATCCAAAACGGTATACTTATTATTGAGGGGAACGGCCACGGGGGATCCCTGCGCTGTCTGCCTATTCCCTTTCCCCCTCCTGACAATCACCCAGTTACCTTTGTCCTGTAACTTGGGTGTGACCACCTCCTTATAACTCCTCTCTATCACCCCCTTAGCCTCCTGAATAATCCGGAGTTCAT